GAATCCTTCATTTCGGCACCAGCCAGCCAGCGCGCACCCTCCGCCCCGAACCCTTCATTTCGGCACGGCAACGCCCTCCTCCCATCCCGCGCGCCCCTCCGCACCCCCCACCCACCAGCCAGAGCGCCCGTCCGCTCCGATCGCTTTATTTCGGCACGCCCCCCCCCCCCATCCCGCGCGCCACCTTCGCATCGCCCAGTCCACCAGCCAGCGCGCCCCCTCCGCCCTGACCGCTTTATTTTGGCACGGCACTGCCTCCCCCATCCCGAGCGCCACCTCCATCGCCCCATCCACCAGCCAGCGCGCCCCCTTCGCCCCGACCCCTTCATTCCGGCGCGGCGCTGCCCCCCTCCCATCCCGCGCGAGCCAGAACGCCCCCTCCGCCCCGACTGCTGTACTTCGGCACGGCACGGTCCCCCCCTCACCCCGCGCACCTCTTCCGCAGCCAGCGCGCCTCCTCCGCCCGCCCCGACCCCTTGATTTCGGCCCGGCCCCGCCCCGCCCCGCCCCCTTACTCTAGGCTCCCCCCGCATTCTCTCTCACCTACCAGCCGCCGCGTCCCTTCTGGCCCCGCGCCCCCTCCACATTTCCCCACCCACCGGCCAGCGCGCCCATTCCGCCCCGACTCCTTGATTTCGGCACAGCACCGCCCCCTCCGAACTGACCCCTTTCGCCGGCCAGCGCGCTTCCTCTGCCCCGACCCCTCTATTTCGGCACGGCACCGCCCCCTCATCCCGAGCGCCCCCTTCTGCATCGCCCCACGCACCAGTTAGCGCGCCCCCTCCGCCCCGACGGTTTTCATTTCGACACGGCACCGCTCCCCCTCCCATCCCGCGCGCCTCTTCAGCATCCCCCCACCCACCAGCCATAGCGCCCCCTCCGCCCAGGCCCCTGTATTATCTTGCACAGTTGTGTTCTGGAGCTGGTTCGGCAGTGGACCCAACCTCCCCCCTCGCCCCGCTGGCCCTGGCCCTGGACTCAGCCTCCTCCCCTGGCCCTGGCCCCAGCCCCCCTCGCGCTGGACCTTTCATTTTCGTTCGCCGTCGCCCCCTTGGTCCCGGCCTTGGACCCAGCCCCCCCTCTTTGATCCTGGCCCCACTCGAGGTCGGCGAGGCCGACTGCCAGCGGGACCAGTTGTAACAAGCCGCCCGACGTGCCACCAGCCCGAGTGGCGGTGGCCTGTGTCATAACTGCTCGCCATCCAACTCTCCGCAACGTTTGCTCCCAACTGGAGCACGAGGAAGAATCAGAAACATGATGCCCCTGAACTGCAACTGCGTGCGCGTACCGAACTCGGTCATGGCTCGGGAGAGCCCCAAGCCCTGCAAGTCCACTAACATTGGAGGTGACGAATGACCAGCTCGAGCCGCCATCAGGAACTTGCCTGACCTCCGCCACTGGAGCTGGTTGCACGCTGCTTCTTGGCTGCGTCCAAAATGGAGTCGAAGACAGAGGAGACCAGCTCGCGCTTGACACCGTGGGCCTCCGCCAGCTGATCGGCGGCAGACGCGGGAGCATCGGCCTCGGTGGGGTCGGCCCGCTGAGAGTTGATGTACTCGAGCAACTCCTGGAAGGCTGCATCTGCTCGGGCCTGAGTGGCTGCGGCGTCGGCAGCTCGTTGCTCGGCCAATCGCTGAGCCTCGGCTGCCTGGGCGGCTTGCACGCGGGCGGCCTCGGCAGCAAATGCCGCTGCTGGGTCCTGCTGCACTGGCTGCTGAGGCTGTGGTTCGCCAGCGGGAGGAACCATGTCAGCATCAGCAGGCTGAGCAGGAGCAGGTTGGAGCAGCGCCTGAAGAGCGGGGACCAGCGCCTGCAGCTGCTCGCCGAAGGTGGCGAGGCGCGGGTCGGCGGCGATGCTGCTGGCGAGATCGTTGAGCTGGGCGAGTGGGTCCCCAGGCGTCGCCATCTGAGTGTAAGTTTTGGCGGCTTTGTCCGCTGCTGCCTTGCATCGCTGCTGCAGCTCCTGCAACTCGCCTTTGAGCTTGGCCGCATGCGCGATAGCTTTGTGTGCATGCTCGGCAGCTTTGTCGAATGCCTTCTGCTTGCCTTGGACCAAAGTATGCAAATTATCCTGCTCGATCCTAGCTGACTTGGCTGCGGCATGTGGCTCTCCTTCAAGGACCGCACGCTGGGCGGCGACCCGCTGGATGAGCTTGGGCGCCAAGCCGTCGGACACCAGGGCAAAACTGGCGGGATCCATGCGTGCGAAGACGTCCAACTGGGCATCGGTGACGACGGAGGGCCCCTTGTGGTTCTTGGGGGGTCCGTTGGCCCAGACACCCTTGGCTCAACGACCACCTTGTGGTTTGGGTACGTCTTGTGGTGCTTCTTTCCCGCAGAGACGGCAATGCGTACGGCTGAGGTAGTTGAAGCGATACCCGCACTTCTTGTGGCCGCATCGCCAGGTCTGAAAACCATCCATGGAACAGTGTGCGGGAAGAGCCCGCAGCACAGCAAACTGAAAGTGACGGAGGTGTGGCCTCCGAAGCAGATAGGGGCCGCTGCCTCCTCCTCCTCCTCCTCCTCCTCCTCTCCTCCTCCTTCCCTCCCCCTCCTCCTTCTCCTCCTCCCCCTCCTCCTCCTCCTCCTCCTCCTCCTGCCCCTCCTCCTCCTGCCCCTCCCCTTCCCATCCGACCACACCCTCTCCCGGGAGCCCATCCCCCCGCGGACGTCCTTCTTGATGCCGGCGGACCGCACCTGAGGAACGGGGGGGCGCACCGCGAGCCCCGCCCGCCTGCCGCTCCTCCCTCCGCGCCACCCCCCGTCCGCCCCTGCACGCCTCGCTTCCTGCGCTCCTCGCACGGGCGTCGGAGCCCCGTGGAGGTATCGCTGTCGTGCGCTCTCTCTCCCCCTTGTCTCACGAGGCTCGGGGTCCACCAAAGGGGGGGGGGGGGCCCCGAGGGGGGGGGGGGAAGTTTCGATCAGCTGTGTTTTGAATTTCGAAAACACGATTTTCCCCCCGCGCACGCGGCAGCAAGACACCTCTCGGGTTCCGGCGGCGGCGGCCGGAGACCTCGTTTTACATCGTTTTTCGGAGGTTTGATGCGCCAACGGATCGAACTTCCTCCCCCCACACCCCCTGTGGCACCCCCCCTTTGCGAGGTCCCGAGAGGCGGTCCAAGAGAGGCTCCTCGAGGGGCCCTGCCAGAGGAAAGAAGGCACGCGTCCGAGCGACAGCGAGTCTTCCTGTGCTCATCGCTCGCTCGTCTTCGCACCCCCGGCCCCAGCCCCACTGTCCTCGCTCTCTCTCTCTCTCTCTCTCTCTCTTCCTCGCTCTCTATCTCTCTCTCTCTCTCTCTCTGTCGCTCGGTCTATGATCACGGAGGTGGCAGGACGAGCCGAGTGGAGGCAAGAGAGGGGGCACTTGGAAGTCAGAGACGGAAATGGGGAAGTGCAGGGCAGAAAATCCACCCCCATAATACGGTGGAGGCGAGTCCACAAGAAACCTTCCACAAGAAACCCAACTCTGAGACCCCAGGACGTCCATGGATTTTTGGTGTGGAGACGTCGTGCTTTCCATGGCAAAAACATCGAAACCCAAAAAACCCAGGGCACCCTGGAGGCAAGCAGGGTGTTTCTTGGCATGGGTCTCTCCACTGCAAGCACCCCGACAAGGGAAGCCGCTTCGTAAACGCACACAAGTAAGGAATCGAGCAGGGCAGGGCTGCTTAGTAAACGCCCAGGGCCGCTTAATCAGGAAACGCCAATTGTCGGGGCCGGGGTGCTTTCTTCCTCCCGTGAGGAAAGAAAAAGGGATGGCGGCTGGGGAGGGCGGACGCGAGAGAGAGAGAGAGAGGGGGTTAGAAGAAAGGTTGCGGGGGACAGATGTGGCAGGCGAGGGTGGAGGGGGAAGAGAACCGAGAGGGGGACGAGGGAAGCTGTGCCTGCAGGCGGCAGGGAGGGACGAGGGGCAGGCAGCAGGGGAAGCAGGAGAGACAGAGCGGAGGGAGGCGGGAGGCGGGCAGCGGAGGGGGGAGAGAAGCCAGAGAGACAGGGGAGGGAGCAGGGGAGGCCCCGCGCCTGCGCGCGCTTCTGGCCCTTCTTGGCCATGGCCGCGCCGCGGGCGCCATGGGGGGCGGCCTCCCCCCCCCCGCCCCCTTGTGCTGGCGCCCGCGGCCTGAGCGCGCGCACGGGCGGCCTGGCATGCACACCTCCGGGCGGCCCCCGCCGCCGCGCGAGAGGCCGGCGCAGGAGCGCCGCGGCCCGGAGGAGGCCGCGCGCGCCGGAGAGAGAGGCGCGCCCTGCCCGCGGCAGAGCCCTGGGAGCCCCCTGGGGGGCCTCGCCGGCGGTCTGTGCCCTCCCCCGCTGCCGCCGCGGCGGCTCGCGTCGTGCCGTTCGGGCGTCGCTATACCTCGACTCGCGATGGGTCTGGGTCCTCCTCCTCCGCCTCCGCCTCCGCCTCCGCCTCCGCCTCCGCCTCCGCCTCCGCCTCCTCCTCCTCCTCCTCCTCCTCCCTCCTCCTCCTCCTCCTCCTCCTCCTCCTCCTCCTCCTCCTCCTCCTCCTCCTCCTCCTCCTCAGGGGGGGCAACACCGAGCTGGACTCGGCGATGCATTGCCGATCGATCGCCGATAGGCCCCCGATAGCGGGACCGCGCGTTCGTGGGCGGGGTGGGCGATCGGGCTGCTGTCGGCGATGAATTGGCGAGTGGGCGTCGATGCGTTCGTCCCGAGACTGCCTCCCCCTAAGGTTGCCCCCTGGTTTTCAGGTCATAACTCGGCACCCCAGCGGCCACTCGGGACAATCCGGGCACCCCCGGAAAGCTCTCGACGAGGTGCTCCCGAGGCTGGAAACCGACGGGAACCGACGAAAACGTCCGAAAACCTCGAGCCTCGCACCTCGAAGCGTTCCCCCTCTGAGACTGGTCCCGCCCTGACCTTGCCTCTGAGGAGTGGCGGGCCCTCCTCGCTTGTCCTCCTGGGCAGAGGCGGGGGGGGCACCGGCGGGGGAGGGCACCGGCGAGTCAGGAAGCGACAGGAGCAGGAGGACCGAGGTCTCTTTT